TCAGTACTCTCATCGTCTGTCCGCCCGTACTCTCATCACCCGCGGAGAATGCATAGCCCCTCTGCTTTCTCATCCGCTGCACCTGCCTCACTTTCCTCACCGCCTTCTGGAACTGTTCCATCCTCGGCCTATAGTCTTGCACGTTGTATTTCTGAATCTCCTGCACGTGGTGGTAACTCTGCGGGAAATACATTCTCTTAGCGTATTTCCATGCAAAGTCCCGGACAAGACAGACTGGTGGAAGGACGAGGCATAGCGCGTAGAAAACTGGGTACGTAAACATGACTGGAATGATCCCGTCGAGTTCGGTCGAAAATCCCTTCCCGATGTTTGGTGCTGCGTAACTGTAGGCGGGGATGAAAGCCAGCCAGATCACAAAGCTCCCCGGGATCGCCAGGACGGTCCATTTCGTCCACACGTTCGTGATCAGTGCGGCTTTTCCGAGAACAACCAACAAAATTGCCGTGTAGGTCGAGGTACCCCACACCCAGTGGCCCGCAACCTTGCCGTCAGAGAGAATGCCGTCGTTCAGAAAGAAGTAACTCGAAAAGATATATGCGAGGATGGAGTGGTAGAAGCCATTGGCGACCCAGGACCAAAAGCTGTGCATGCGGAAGAAAATGCCTTTCTGGGTCAATGAATAGGATTGCGGGTAGCGATCCAGAAGACGAGCTGAGACATATTGATCAAATACGCCAATGGCGAAAGGCGGGAAAAATGTGAAGAGGACATTGTAAAAGGAGAGAGTCCAGGATTCATAGATGACTTGGCCGGAAAAGGCGTTTTGGAATGCGTACTAGTTGCTTGTCAGCATTGATCACCAATCTGACTGAGAACGGCATCTCCTTCACTTACCCAGAATTGCGTCATGAACATAGCAATGTTCTTGTAAAACGAGTACAAAATAACCTTGCTTATGCGTTGATAACTCCAAGCCCCATGCACGAGGAGCAATTTTCTGAGATACCGGAATTGGCCAATCGAGACATCGGCACTGCGGGCAGCTTGTAGACCCTCCACACCACTGATACCAACACCAACATGTGCAGCTTGTATCATGGAGACATCGTTGGCGCCGTCACCAATAGCCAGGAGAAGCGCCTTGAGATGCCGCTTGACGAGTTTGACCACCAGAGCTTTTTGCAACGGTGATACTCGACAGCAGATTACTGCCTTGCATATAACTGCCAAATCGAGGAACAGCTTCTCCATATCCTTTTCCAAGGCAAAGGCTAAGGATTTGCCGTCGATGACGAGTGCGAGTACATCCCGCTCGCCTGCCGCCGCTTGACTTCGCACCGCATCGTATTTCTTTTGCAAGCTCTCACGTGTTGCGCTGGAGGTCTCCTCGTTGATGATCAACAGTGTCATATCCTCACTGATCAATTTGCAGCTCATGCCGATGTTGATGGCTGTTTCCTGTCGGTCACCTGTAAGAACCCAGACTTTGATTCCTGCCTGTTGCAGCGTATGAATGGTGTCCGGCACGCCGTCCTGGAGACGATCCTCAATAGCGGTTGCCCCCAGTAAGTAGAAATCGTGCTCGATGATCTCCGCTGCTTTGTCGAGCTCTTCGGCACGATTGCCACCTACCGTAGTAGCCGCTTTGTCGAAAATTTGTCGCCATTCCTGGTACTCTTGTTCTGGAACCTCGCGCATAGCAAGACACAGTGTTCGAAGACCTTCGGTGGCATAGTCCTCCAAATGCCGCAAGGTTGTCTCCACAGTCATATTATCTTTGGCTAGTCTCTCCATGATTACTGTATCAGCACCCTTGCAGTATATCCTAATCTTTCCGTCTGGACACCGAAAGATTGTGGACATACGCTTTCTTGTGGAGTTGAATTCGCAAACTGCCAGTAGCTCGTATTCTACGTCTTGGCCATCAACTTGCACAATCACCGAACGGGGTTTCCGGGCCACAAATCGGTATCCAAGCATGACAGCACCTTCAACCAAAGCGCCCTCGTCAGGAGATGCAGCTTGGTATTTGATTTCCGATTTCTCGTCTTTGCGTTCGGGAATGACAGTATGACAAACGGCCAGCAGTGAGAGGAATTGGTGAATGACTGTCGAACTCTGGTGCATCTTCATGTTCTCGCGGAGTTGCTTGAAATCATGAATACCGTCCAAATCATCAGGGCCTGTCGCCTTTCGATCCTCCGGCACCATACCGGCATACTGAATTCCATGAATGGAACATTGCCTGAACTCCATCATGTTGCAAGTCAAGGTCCCCGTCTTGTCTGAGAAAATGTACTCGATTTGCCCTAGCTCCTCCACAAGTGACGAAGTTCGACATACCGCAGGGGTATCGGTGTCGGTGTAGTACATGTCCAAATCGCTGCTGATGAGAAAAGCTTGGAAATATTTCACGATCTCGACGGTGACGAACAGTGACAGTGGGACCAGGTTGGAGTACAGGATCCAGTAGGTGCAAAGGTCCATGAAGAATTGCGTGGCGGCGTTGAAATTGTCGTAGTAGAGGTATGTCAATTTCTGGCCCGCAGTTGCTCGAACGATGAGATCCCCAATCGTGCTGACTGCGCTGAGAACCAAAAGTATAGCAACGAGCATCAGAATCTGCTTGTTGAGCATTCGTTCCACGTCTGTCCTCTTGATGGGTGTGGCGGTAGCATTTCGCATCAGCTTCGTTTCATGGCCCGTGAAAACAACAACCCCATGGACCCAGGGAGTATTACGGAGAACCGCTCCACGGAGGAGTAACTGGTCGGGCGTCAAAGGGTGTTCTTTCTCGCTTCCTCCACCAGCGACGGTCAATGTCGCCTCATACGTGTAGAGACTGCTGTTCGGCTGTTCTGACCTTATCCGTCCGTTCAGTCTTCCCAAGTCTGCAGGGTTAACCAAGTGTACCGTTTCCGGAATTGCCTGTTTGATTTTGAGGTTGGTCTCACCGTCGAGGTTGGCGGTTTCGATGTAACAAAGCCCTTCTGGTTCGGAACTCGTGAGGAGTACCAAGTCGGCAGGAAAAGGCTCTTCCGATTCCACACGGACAATATCACCAACAGCGACGTTGATCCATTTCGTCTCCACGAAAGTTGAACCCTTGAGGACCTGCGCTTTGGAGTCGTTTAGAGTCTTGTCTGCCATCTTTCGCTTCCAATCCTCCACGAGTTCCTTGATGGCAGATATCATCAAGACAATCATCAGCGGGACTATAGTTGTGTAAGGATTTGTGGGGGAGACGTTAGGTATTTGCTGCAGGACGGCCGTGAATAAGAAGAATAAGTTGGCGTATTTGGAGAATTGTTCAAAAAGGAACTTCGGCAGAAAAGTCGCGACGTTGTATTTGGCTGTAGAAACATGGTTGTCGACCCATTTGTTGGCAGCGTTCACCGGAGCATTGTTGAGATGTATGATTCTTGGTCCTAGGGTGGATGGGTCGACCTTCTTCCTCGTAAACATGTCTCTGATATTTTCGAAACTGAATTCATTCTTCTCTCGGATTGGAGGGGTCTCGTCGGTGCCAGCTGTGTCTACTCTTGAGTTCCTCATCCCAGCTTCCGTCAATGGAAGATTCATGTCAGAATAGTTGCTATTCCGTATCCCCAGCATCCCTTTTGCTCTATCCATGACGCCCGTCATGGACATGAGACTAGTCCGATCCCGTCTATGATGTCGTCCGACCACTTTGACACCTCCACCGGGGATATGCTCGTCTGAGGGGCCTGCATTGTCGTAGTATTTGTATCCCGACTCTTCTTCGGTTAACTCCTCCCCGTCTCCATATTTTGCGTAGTTCTGCAGGTCCGAGGTCTGGGAGTAGTTTCGAGTACCGCTGTCCATATACGGAGCAGTAAAAGGTCGACTTGATGACGCTACCGGTTGCGCTTGGCCAGCAGCGGTCGGTCTCCCTCCGCCGACGAAGTCATCGTAGCTCGTTGATGGTCTCGGTTGCGGATCGTCCGAGTCATCGATATTGAACAATTTTAGGAGTTGCGAGTCGTCTACGGGAGGGCGCTGCCCTGAACCGTAGACTGGCTGTGAGTTTCCCAGTTCATCCAGTAAATTGTTGTTGTTGTTGTTGTTGTTGTTGTAGTTGGAAGCTTGAGGCGCATTGGGCCTCCCGTCCATTTCTCAAGAGGATGGGCGCCAGAGGGGCTTGCGAGCAGAAAATCGACGAAGTGCGTTACCGTGCCATAAGGATCATGAAAGGCCTCTGTCACAGTTGAGAGTGTTTGCTGTTGACATGCTGCGCGGAAATGCAGTGTTGGCAGAGAAGATGTCAGCGTGCTTTGTTCTTGTCGAGATTGACTGTGACAATGGCAATACCAAGAGCCCCCGGCTGCGATTTGGATGCGCGGCCGCAGGCGGAGCAACGCCTCTAACCTTGGAGCCCAGAGTTGGAGCCCACTCACCCTCGTGCGGGCAAGAGCGTTAAGTGGCTGGTCCCTATTAAATGCGGCTAGTGAAGCCTAGCGACAAGTTTCAGTACCCAGTAGCTTTACAGGCCCCAAGCGAGACACTAATGTTACAGGCTGCAAAGGCAAACAAAGATCACCCACGGGCCACGGCACACCCAGAGGTACCACAAGTAATATGTACCTAAACAAGAACTCGTAGGGGAGGGACAGTACGTAACCACGTAGTAAACCAAGAATCAAATTTGCATTTGTTTGCCTGGAGCCTAGTAAACATCCAGCTGCATCACACAGTGATGCCCCAACCAAGCCGCCGCCGCCAGTGGTTTGATAGATTCTTCCACGAGGGAGATTGATTCGTGGCTGACTGGATCCTCCGAGGTGATTCCTAAGAGTTTAAAAATGGCAGCCGAGACTGCACTGCCACTTCCATGATCGCTGGGTGGTTATACCAGATGAATCAAGCATCGACTTTCCTTTGATGGCGGAATATCCATCCATCCAGCATCACGTTCCTTGTTCTTCTCCTTTTTTTCTTCAGGCAGCCTCATTCAGGCGTCGACGATATTGCCCGGAAAGATCCTCGTCCCAACGACGGATGTTCCCAGCTCACCGTGGTCATCTCTCATTCTCAGCCCGCAGCTCGGCAATCAGTCCGCCCACGTCCCGCTTGGTCGCATCCTCTGCTAATTTCTTAGCCACGATCCCATTGATCTCTTTCCCCTTGGCCAAGGCTGTGTTGATACACTTCAGCAGAACTAGGGCATCAATCGCGCTCCCTCCCATCTTGGAGACCTGGCATAATTCAAAGTCGTTCACCGTAAAAGTCACTGACGACTCTCGGACTTGCTCTTCACTGCGTGTGGCATCCAACAGGATGGTCTCCCCTCCGTGATAGAAGCTGAATGTTGTGCAAACCGGGTGATGCATAATGCTCAATGGAACCGGCACTCGTTCGGCCATGGTGTATATCGTTACCATTTCCCCGTCAACTGAGACATCAGGTCTTCGAAAGTGTCGCAATGCCGCCACAATCGCCAAACAGGCACAATCGACCAGACCACCGTCAGAATCAAGGACATGCACGTCGGCTCTAATAGACCAGCATTTTGCTCCCGCAATAATGCATAGGGATTCCGTATCAATGGCACGAGATCGTCGTATAGCCTTTTCAAGAGTCCGAGACAATATCACTTCTTGCTCCGTTTGTCTGCCGACTTCGTATGCGGGAGACGCAATGGGGCTCAACTCAGTGACAATTGTGAAGATGCCATCAAATTTGCGGTCTTCAAGTGGCTTCGTGACCTCTGCTGAGATTTGAACATGTACTCTTCACATGCGTTTAGCACTGGCCTACATGGGCATGAAGATTAGCCTACCTCGTCCTCCCAAGACAGGCAGTGACTGTTCCGTATTCATCTCCGAATTCTAGGTCGAGGTTTCTGAATTGGTCAAGATGCCGCCCGTCAACTCGGACGCCTTGTTCCAGAGCTTGAAGGATGAAATTCCGCTCAATGTTGGAGATGTCGACTTCGCGCGGCATGTTGGCTAGAAGCCGTGGGCTGAGACGGTAGGTATTGGTGACAAAGCGACTTTAACTCCATCCAGTATGCGAATCATCCCACATATTCAGACAAGATTGGTGTGACTGGTCCTGGGTTGCGACAATTTTTCTCCTTGTCGCAAAGTCTCCTGCTTTGAAGCCCAGAAAACTATTCTTGCGTCAAGCGACTTCTCGCTCCACCGGACTCGTCCTTGTGATGGTTACTGTGGGCCATTTCAGTCGCCAACCGAAGATATCTTCCTCAACAAAATTATCTGCTTCGCCTCTTCTTTTTTTTCCTTCTTTCCCCGTTAATCCGCTTGACATATTTTCGTATCGGGGACCAAAATCCTTCCCAATCTTCTGTTATACTTTGCATCTGGCTCATTGCAAGCTACTGTAGATACCGCCGCACTACCGCAAGAACACAAGCCTTCAGTCACATGATCGTAACCACAGTTCACATGCTTCCGAAATGGCTGACATGGCGATCCACAAGCGGCCCAGACGATCCAGTTTGTCTCTCATGCGAGATAAGCAGAAGGCAGAGAGCAGATTCAGGCACTGGTACGTACTTATCGCGACGACACGCCACAGGCAAAAGCTACTTCAAACCTCCCCCTGGCGGACTCCTTTCTCCGTCCCAGTTCGGGACCAACGTTGCGTCAGCCTTGTTCAAACTTTTCCACCGAGCCTCACCCATGCCCATATTTGTTGGGGCCCTATCGAGTTCTTCCACTCTCATGCCATTTTCCACATCACCCATTGGCAAGGAAGCGGTTCCTCGACCCTCGCTGTGGTCCTTTTCCACTTTTCGCTTTTGCCTCTAACTCGACATGTCGCTACGCAGTACGTTTCTACATATTGGGAATATCTGACAAACCTCCGACGCCTCCACCACGTGCAAGACAATCCCGTCTGTTATCGAAGACGTGGGTCTGCCGGTGATGAATTGTTCTTATGCAATTTGATTCAAGCTTTCTTTTGTGCCCAAAGGTCTATCACCGCAGACCCGTTGACTTCGCCGCTCCTCCATGCGCAGTCCATGCCCGGTATAGCTTCTGATATTTTTACTCCTGATGCCTCCCTCTTCCGCAAACTTCTTAGCCCGTGATTCTCAAGCTTTTCGAGGGCCTTCCGCCCAATGTATCTACTGCATTCAGGCATTTCTGCTCAAAAAGTGGTAGTGAGCCGAATATATCTGGTTGATTCTTTGTTGCAGCAATTCTCCTTTGTCGCCATTTGAGCCGGAATTTTTACCATTGCCACATCTTAATTTTGTTACCACCCTGGCCAATGTTCGCCAGGTCACGCTCGTTCTTTAATATAGCAGGTTCTCTGGGGGCCCGAAGCCATGGCTGAAAGAGACATACCGTTACCAACATCCGAGAAAACTAGCAATGATTCCGACACCAACCCTATCAGGCGGCACAGTATCAGAGGGTTCAGGCATGGAAACAGACACCACCAGAAGGTCAAGTTCTCCGACATAGCTGACGATGCGGGAGAGTCCATCGTCGAGGCGAGCACGCTCGGAGACGTCCCAAAAATGCGCTTGTCTGATTCTGAAGACGTTGCCGACCACGGTCTTCCGGCTTCGGATTGGGCTGGAATTACACATGCTGCAGCCGCCCAAGCCCAGGACCGTGCCAGCCGCCTAGCTAATCGATTAAACCATTCTCGGGCACAATCAAAGCAACATCAAGGAATACTCATTTCTCAGAGCTCAACTCCTCAAGCGTCGGCATCGCCTAGCTCATCTCCCCCAACGAAGCCGTTGATTGATTGGCTCGTTAATGACGACGACATCGCCCTAGAGCCACTCGAAAAGGACAAGCGTCCATATACGTTGCACGATGAGACGAGTGATGATGATACCGACAGCGACCCCAAGGCCCTGCACCGTGATAATGAGAATGTCGAGGAAGCAAGGCGACTCATTAGAACATTGACTAGCGCTCAGAATGCGACGACATGGCAAGAAGAGCCACGGTCAGGAGCAGAGACTCCCGCGGTGGATAAGCGCCTTCACGACTTGGATTATGTCCCCCCTCCAAATCAGTATCGTCCCAGCGTCTTTGGCGCCCTCCTTGCCTCAAAACTAGCACATTTACAACGAAATGGAATTACCCAACCCACATACCACGAAGACCTTACCTCACACACACCAAACAAGTACTCTCCAAAAGGCTTCTATTCCAAAGGCCATTCTCGCGCAGGTTCCGAAAGCCGTGATCATTCGACTCCATCATCTGGAAGGGCTACGCCCTCTAAGAGACCGAAGTGGTATGACAAAGACAGTCATGAGCGCCAGTCAACTGGGTCTCTGGCAACGTTGTTGGCTCAAGCATCCGTGACCTCGGCAGCAGCTGCCGCACCTCAAACCAGCAATTACGTACCTCGCCCACCACTTCACCATGCAAAGTCCTCAAACGGCATGATTGCGACGGCGGTTGACATGATAAAGCACCCTGGCAACTATTTTCATCACAAATCTACGCAGTCTCTACTGATAGATGAGGAGCGAGTCATCCTAGATGTCGCCGAAATCATCGCTTGTCGAAAGTATCTGAAAAAACTAGCTCGATGCCTGATGGCAGTCGGAGCACCAACTCATCGTCTCGAGGAATATATGAAGACTTCAGCACGAGCGCTCAACATCGACGGTGATTTCCTCTATATGCCAGGGTCGATGCTGGTCTCGATCAATGACAGAGTTACTATGAGTACAGAAGTCACTCTGGTGAAGGAGTCCCAAAACGTGGATCTCGGAAAATTCAGAGATGTCTTTGACGTTTACAAGCTGGTCATTCACGGCAAATATACGGCCGAACAAGGGACGGCCGATCTAGGCGAGATCATGAAGAAGCGCGGAAGACATTCTCTTCCGCTCCGGATTTTTGCATATGGTATCGCCGCCATTGCGGTGGGCCCTTTTGCTTTTGCCGCTCGGCCAGTCGATTTTGGTCCCAGTTTTATCCTGGGGTGCATTCTGGGTTGGCTGCAGCTTGTGGTGGTCACCCGGTCGGAACAGTTTTCGCATGTGTTCGAAATTCTAGCATCCGTCCTTATCTCATTTGCTTCCCGAGGCCTGGGTTCTATCTACCACAAAGGCACTGCCGTGTTCTGTTTCTCGGCCATTGCACAGAGCAGCATAGCCCTGATTCTGCCAGGATACATGGTGCTGTGCTCTGCGCTGGAATTGCAAAGTAAAAGCATTGTTTCAGGGTCTGTTAGGATGGTATACGCCATTATATATTCCTTGTTTCTTGGTTTTGGAATTCTGATCGGCACAGTTGTTATGGGTACGTCTCATTCCTTCTAGAGGAAAGCTAAGCAGTACTATCCACTGACAGGATTATAACAGGCCTCATTTATCCCCAAGCACAGAGTGATGTGACTTGCAACACGCCCATTTGGTGGAACGATTCCAACCATGGACCCAAACTTCTGTATGTCAGATTCATCTGGGTTCCCATATTTGCGATATGCCTTGCTACCATCAACCAAGCAAAATGGAAGCAAATACCGGTCATGACTCTTATTGCCTTTGTCGGGTATCAAGCGAATTTCTGGATCTCGACCAAACTTTCGAACAACATCCAGGTGGCCAACGCGATTGGTGCCTTTGCAATTGGGACAATGGCTAATCTATACTCTCGCTTTTTCCATGGCCTGGCGGCTGCCGCCATGCTACCGGCGATTTTCGTTCAGGTTCCAAGCGGGCTCGCCGCAAGTGGGAGTCTGGTGGCAGGCATCACAAGTGCCGACCAAATTACCGGCAATGTGACAGGTGTTAGTGTCATCAACAATGGCACTGCAGGATTCTTGGACGCCCAGAACAGTACAAGCAGTGCGAGTGTTTACGGTGGTACGATTTTCAATGTTGGGTATGGAATGGTTCAAGTCGCTATCGGTATTAGCGTTGGTCTTTATTTGAGCGCTTTAATTGTGTATCCTTTTGGAAAGAGGAGGAGTGGACTGTTCAGCTTATAAATATCATAGCATGGTTTTGCTTCCCAATGAAAATGCATAAGATTGACCAACTCGCGACTGACATAGTTCGCAGTGGCGAGGCTGAGCGGCATGCCAAGCCCTGTAAGGCTGCGCACCTGCGACTTTCACTTTGAAGTTTTCGAGACGGATCTCTTGTGTAGCAAGCACCTGCGTCTGCTCCGCTCACTGCCCTCGTGATTTCTTGAGGATTTTCTGCTACCGACGTCCTGGCATTTTACACCCAACATGACAACAGGCAAGCTCTTTTCGCTTTCTTCTTGTATCGCATTCTGACTCTGGAAATAGCACACCGACCGACATTTGATCCTGCTCGAGGCAAAGAGGCGCAGCGAGGTCCAGCTTATCATCAACGGCTACTACCAGCGCACACCCTTCTTAAAGTTCGGTCAGTCAGCCTCAAGTCTTCGGAAGTAAGTCCTTCTAACGACTATCAGACAACCCGGTCAAGGTGGAGCTGCGGAAGCCGAGAGGAGAGATCTCAGAGCGGAGCTACTTGCGGCCGAAGCAGCACATTTTGCAAAGACGAAAGGAGCGACCGCGGAACCCACGAGCAGCACTCCTAAACCTCTGAAACGAGAACTCGAAGACTCCTCACATGCCGGTGACGGTGAGAACGAAGACCCCGATACCAAACGAAGAAGAATACTAGAAGAAACCCGAGAAATCGATGCAGATTCAGATGGAAGCGATACAGAAAGCAGCGAAGAGGAAAGCGATGAAGAAGATGAGACGGCAGAATTGATGCGCGAACTTGAGAAAATCAAAAAAGAGCGAGCCGAGCAGAAGGCGCGTGAAGAAGCCGAACAGGCTCAACAAGCACAAGACCAGCGAGAACGAGACATTGCGCTTGGTAACCCGCTACTCAATCCGAAGGCCTTCAACGTCAAGCGGAGGTGGGACGACGACGTGGTCTTCAAAAATCAAGCTCGAGGGACAGAACAGAAAGGGAACAAGGAATTTGTCAACGTGCGTCCACTCCAGACTGTTGAGACATATGGATGCAGGCAAGCTGATGAGAATACAGGACTTGCTCAGGTCGGATTTTCACAAGAAGTTTATGGTATGAACGACTCTACGTGGGACATCTCTGAACTTACTAACCTGTTCTATTTCAGTCGAAATATGTCCGATGAACTATCCCCGCCGTTTACAGCATTGGAAATGGTGCTTGCAACGAAGGTTGATGGCAGCCAACGTGCTATGAGCTTGAAATCTTCCTCTGAGATGAGACTAGAAGGCAGTCCTGCCAGCTGAATCGACACAAGGAAACAGTGAGGTGGCAAAACATCTGGTGGCTATGGCACGGCCACGTGCCCGACCAAACCAGCTGAAAGAGCTGCAGGGTCGTGCATTAGACATGCTGCTAGTTCTGAAGTTCGGATCAAGGCACCGCAGCCGGGGGATCTCGGCAGGGGCATGTGCCTTTGGATCAAACTTTCATGCAGGTGACGCCAACAACCTGAGAGCAAGGCAAGGTCTGCACACTCCGAAGCAGACTGCTCTCTTTGGCTGTTCAAAAAAAAAAGGTAGTAAGATCAATCTGGTTTCCTTGATTGGGAGGCACTGACGCTATTACCAACAAACAGTTGAATAGCATTGCGAGATTAGCTAGATAGACCCTTGATGGACCCTTGGGAGAGAGAAAAGGAAAGAGAACCGGAGGAGTGGAGGGGGTGCTTGGGGGTGGCACCCAGCCACGGCCTCACCAGCCAAAGGACCCAGGGGGAGTATGCTGCTTCCCGGCATGGAAGAAAAAAAAAAGGATGGTTGCGGGCAGTTCTCTTACGTTGACGGGTGCAAAGCAGGCAACGTGCGGAAAATGCAGAAAATGCATGAGATGCACGAGATGCCGTCATAATCTGGCCTCCAGCTTGCAGCTGTGGGGTCAATTCACTCCCTCACTCCGTCACTGCGCAGCCTCTTCCACCCTCACACAATCTAGCACCAGATCGTGCTCGATCCGTTCTTTATGCCCTCCACTTGTGGCAGAGATGAACCTTCCTCTCCTTCGACAAACAAAGGACAGCTTATGGAACCTGCTCAGACGCTGCACCACCGCCCGGGTCAAGGTGTCACCGCGACGCAACCCTTCCCCCTCCTTCCTCATCCTCAGCCAATGCTCGCAGCCGGAAATGACGATGCTTTTGCGGCTTCCCAGCTTCCTTGCTCTTCCTGCTTGTCTGGGTTCAGCTGTGCAACACCTGGCCTTGTTTCACGCGGGGTCTATCTCTCAAGTCATTGGTTCTGCATCAAGTCTTACGTATGCCTTGAACAACATCGCCTCAGTTTGTCACTCGCGCCTGACGTGCTTCGGAATGAGTTCTGTTAAGACTGTAGTGATGTTGGCTGGTACCTTCTTCTGCTCGCTTGCTCCCATGCTGCCCTCGTGTCCTTTTTAAAACCTCGCCTTGGTCCTTTTTGGACTCACTCAGCTCTCTTCACTCCTTCAAGTCCTCGAACAGTTGATACTCGCACTCTACTGAACAAGCAAAGCTCTTCATCCGCAATGTCCTACGATGATGACAACGTACGCTCAAGAATCCAGCTCGAAGTTGAACTAGTACTCCGCTGACATCCTCTAGCGACGTGGTGGCGGATACGGTGACGACACCTACGGTCGAAGGACTGGCGGAGGTCTAGGGGCTGATGACACCTATGGAGACTCCGCCGTTACCGGCGGCAGAAGCACTGGTCAGGACAACGAATACGGTGGGCTGTCGTCGCGTCCTAGAAAGACCTCGGTGAACTAAACATACATGCAGGCATGGGCAGTGGCAGGACTCGCACACAAGGCACCGGTGGCTATGGTGCAAGTGACGATACCTACGGCTCCGGAATCCGGGACACCTCAGGAGGCTACGGAGGCAGTGGCCGTACTGGGGGCGGCCTAGGGACCGATGACACCTATGAAGATTCGACGAATACTGGCGGCAGAAGCACTGGCTGTGACGCTGAATATGGTAAGTTTGCCTCCAGTGTTGACCACCCTAACCTAACCACGCATAAAAGGTATGGGCAGTGGCAGGACTGGAGCTCAATCGTCCGGTGGCTACGGCGCAAGTGACGATACCTACGGCTCCAGTACTGTCGGTCGCGGTGGTTATGGGGATGATAGCATTGATCGTCGCGGGGACGACTTCAGCTCTTCGGGGGGCACTTCAGGTGGACTCGGTACGGCTCCCATGATATGTCCCGACAGCGACTAACCTGAGGAAGGCACTGATGATACCTATGGTGATTCGACCCGGACTGGAGGCATTTCCACAGGCCGCGATGACGATTACGTGAGTGCTGCCCTGTTGCGTAGACCGACAGGGTCCCCAGAGTGGTATTGACAAGCTTTATCTCCAGGGAATGGGATCCAGCCGCACCCGAGAACAAGAGCAAGGCGGCTTTGGCAGCGGGGACAGCTACAACAATGACACTTCGAGCGGCAAGAATGATTCTACCATGGGCAAAATGATGGAGAAGGCGGGCAGTATGTTCGGGAGCAGCAAGTTGGAGGAAAGAGGGGCAGAGAAGAGACGTGGTGCCGGCAACGATAACTATTAGTTCACGGTGCAGAGAAGCAGGGATGGCGTGCTGCAGTGTTCACGGAGAGGAATACGAGGTAAATGAGACATTTTGGGAACACGGCAATTATGGAAGCATTGACCGCTTAGGTTGATAGGACATTTCACTTGGGAGGTATGCAAGATATCATCCTCTGCACCGTCCGCTGCGTAGAAATGCAACACTTCGAAACCAGTCTCAATCTCTATACCTTCACGTAGCATCACCGCCGTTCCCAGCCGACGACCCGAATCTCGACACCTGCCTTCTCGTCCTTCATCCACATCTCCTTCCCACTACTATCCAGAGGCGTAAGTTCTTCTTCGTCCTCGTCACCGCTCCCATTACCCTGTCTGGTGATAGCTTCAACAACGCTTTGCTTCCGCCTCCCCAAATGCTGAGGCAGCTCCACCTCGCCTCCGATCCACTCCTGAACTTTGGACGGAGCAACATGCTTCCATTTCGCGGATTTGACGCCTGAATGAGGCGAAGGCAAGAGGTCGGGAAAGAAGGTATCACATTCAAAATCACCATGCCCTTTGCTGTCGCCGCTTGCGGTGGACGAGGAGGGCATCCGGCGGATTTGCGTCTGCAATATTCTCACCTCGAAGTGCTGCTCGCCTCCTCCTCCTCCTCCATCGGCGCCGGTTTCGCCCTCGGTGTCCGTCCCCGTCTCGCTCCCGGCCGGCGTGGTGGGGGTGTGAGGATTGGTGGACGAGAGGGACAGAACCTGTCGGTATATTTCGCCGCCGCCGATGCAGAAGATCTTGTGGATCGAGAGGGACAGTGAGGGGTCCCTCCCCGAGCCTGGGGCTGATGTTGGTGCGGTGGTGGCGGTTGCAGGTGGTATGTGGATCGGTGCCTGCGAGGAGAGCAGGGAGAGAGTCGAAGGGAGCGAGGCGGAGATGAGGATCGGGGATATGGACGCGTGCTTGGACAATGTGAAGGTCGAAACTGGCGGGACCAGAATCGTGCTGCTGCGCCGTCTCTGGTTTGCGCTGCTCTTCGATGTCGAACTCGACTTTGTCTTCACGTTTGTTTTGGCGGATGACGACGATGGGAGGACATGGAGTTCCCACTGCGATGCCGCGTCCATCCCCTTGCTGGCGGGGGATTTCAACTCCTGGAGGATCTTCCATCCCAGCTCCTCGGAGTCGGATCGCGTGATGATCACGTTCAATCTCCCCGCCAGCGGCCGGAACTTGGGGGGAATGCTCTCCCAGGTCTTGCGGCCCATGACCACGGCATTGAGCGTCCTCATGCCCGTCGGTCCCGCCGCCGATGACGACGACGAAGAAGCAGGAGACTCCCGCAACCCTGCCTTCGCTTCGTCGGAGACGTGCGACGTGACGTTTTTGAAAAACGCCATGTCCGCCCGGATCGGTGGCCAAGGCAACTTGCCCTGGTGTCCGATGCCCATTGGCGGATTTAGCGAGGTCGCCACGACGATGTAGATGGGTTTCGGACGCATGAAGATGGGCGTGACGATTGTCGTGGTGATCTTGATGATACGTTTGGCGGACGGGGAGAGCATTCTCTCGAGCTCCTCCTGCTCTTCGTTGTTGTCCAGATTCGGCGGCAAGAGGGTCGACGCGGACGTTGGGAGATCCCTTGGCGATGGCGGTGCTGACAGCGTGGTTGTCGGTGGTGTTGGAACGGACATTGTTTTCCTTGGTTCTTTGGAGAGTTTCTTTTTCTGAGCCGGGAGATATTTCCGCGTCGTCTTGTTGAGGACCGTTACTGACTATTCCACCAACCCGGGGAGTTGGGTATATCGACGCCTCGTTCTTGTTCCCTGCGCGCTGCGCAACGATGATCGAGGACCGAGGATCGTTCTCTCACAATTCAATTCGTTGATTCATCTCTCTGTCTTTGTCTCTGACTCTGACTCTATCTCTATCCTTCGCTATCCAGTCTTTCTTGCGTGTCTTCCCAAGACCTCTGTTTCAGACAGACAGATAGATGTGTAGCGGGAGAGGGAAAGGGAAAAAAAAAAAGACAAAAACACATCTAAGTGCGACCCCGGCAGATAACGAGGTAGTCCATCCAACACATACACACATTCATACCTGGGAACATTTGCGGGTAGGCAGGTAGTTTGTAGGTAGCGAGTGCGGATAGAGCGACGTTCTAGGCCTGCCCACCGCCAGAACGTTCAAAACTCTCTCAGACATCGCTTGCTCCGGGAGTCCAGACGCGAAGGGCGTCAATTCCGGGCCCCTCTCCCCCGTCACCTTGTCCCCTCTTGGCGCGTGCACTACCACCACTGCCGCGCTACTGGGAGCCGGGAGCCGGGAGCCGGGAGCCGGGTTTGCGGTGCAGACGGGATACATACTGGTAGGTGCACAGTACGGAGTATGGTGGAGGTACCTAAGGAGAGGGAATATGCAAGTACTAGGTAGGGACAGGCAAGACTTGGCCATCTAGGTATATACCTAGTTCATACCTAGGTATTCAGGCCATGTAACTTGGCTACTGTACGTGCCTTCTTCTAGGTAGTGACCTACCTACATACATACCAAGCTACCGACGTAGCTAATAGCCGGGTAGCTAGCTAGCTAAAAGGGCTAAGCAAGGGGCACCATCGCACAACCAAAGCCTCTTTTTCTTTTTTCTGTTTTACCCCTCGGTAGTTGGAAAAATACAACGACTACCTAACTTGAAGGTGTTGGAATTGAGAAGGATGCAATAAGTGGAGTGGATTATTGGAGGGGATCGGTATTGAGGACCTGACTTCAACAGTTCATGGAATTCAGAGACGGTCGATAGTCGTGCACACTTCAGTGCCGCTGTCGTCTACACGGCGTTATCATAATTCCAAGTGTGTCCACGTATATAGGCGCAGGTGGTCTCAATATCCATTACTCTTGGGTGTCGCTTAGATCGAGCGTCGTCTCGTACTTCTCCAGAAACTTCTTGAATCCCGCTTCCACCACCTTGACATCTTCCTCCATCTTTCTTCTTGCTGCCTCGTCCTGTCCATTGCGATCCCGGCCATCGTGGTCCCCAGCGAGAGTGTCCAGTCCGCCAAAGAGCCAGATCTCCTTCATTGTCCGCGTGAGCATCATGATCTCCTCTGCCGCGCGGACGATGGCTGTCGACTCGACCTCGAGTTGAAATTGTTGCACGGCCGTGTCTATCAGTGATGGCGGGGCTGGAGGATTGCCCGTACCGGCGGCAGTTTGCCCAGCTGTATCGTCGAGGGCCGCGGCGAGGATGTTCTCAAGCCTCTTGATCAGCGTGGTTGAGAGGGCAGTAATGCGGGCTGGGTGGAGGGCAGCTGTCAGAACTCTGTTGAAGCATTTCAAGTCCACGAACATCCATTGGATCGAGGCGACTGGGAGCAGTAGTGGGAACAAGACCGCCTGGGGGCCAATGATACTTGCCCAGTTCGACGTGCGCATACCTTGTAAGAATTTGGCAGACGGCACGGCGTCCGAGACAGCCTCTCTTTTGGTTGTCGACTCCATCCTGCGAAAGGTTCAGGTCCGCCCCAGCCTTGGAACACTCAGCCTCCACTCATCAATCAGCTCTCACCCGAAGACTTACTGTCTTTTTGCAACCTCTCAACACCTTCCAAACCAGGCTCGCTTTCGGGCGGAGGGCCTTATTAGCTCCAGATCAGATTCAGCTGATTTTTGCCTGAATGGGCCCAGTTTGTTGATACAGCTCCTCACAAGTACAATCGACCGCTGGCGTAGATGTAGGTCAAGGATCAAGCAGAATGTCCTGCATCTCCCAGTAACGGGGGGGACAAGAGCCGCGTCAGCTGCGGTGGTGTTGTGCGTCGAGAGGTAGAATTTCGTTGACGTGGCCGCTACATTTTCTTGACTGAGGTTCGTGCACAAACAGGCAAAATCGATGTGTTGCACATAGTCCAGAAGGTAAAGTATCTGGTGGTGGTATGCTCCGCCGGAGTAGGATGGTACGGTCGAGCATCTATACAACGAATAGCAACACAGAGAGCAAGGGACCAACACCCTTACACCCTCCAATTCACTGATCTTGTGATCTTGTGATCTTGTTCAATTAACCGCGACCCAACACATTGATAGATGCCTTAGGTATCCATGCTCTTTTGGGAAAATGTCTCAATAAGGTGCCACTTCAAGCAGTCTTTGGCTCATGCGCTGATACATAAGCCCGCAGAGCTTTGATCAAGAGACCACGCAACGTGTGGAACTTCTCATGTCAGTCGGACTTGCTTACTCTCGAGGTGCCTCTGATTTCTGGCTTTCCAAACAAGAGGTACAAGTAAGCATTGGGTTCTCACTTCATCCCGTTTAAGGCTTCATCACCATCATCGACATACTGGCGAGCTGAGTGGGTACGACAGACGTTGCATTTTTTTTTCTCGCTGCCTCGGGATCTTCGAAGGCGCCTGCCACTCACCTGCGAATGATGGCGTACCTTCGCCACATGTTGGTAAATTTAGCATCGCCGGTCGACGGTTTTGATTCGATCAGCCCTTGCCAGCCACACCGTGTCTAAGACATACCAGGAACACCAGGGACTATTCGGGAGGGTAAAAATTCTCCGCAGCCATGCCACCTTCTTGCAACCGACGCAAGGCACCGCTTTGCGCCCATTTGCAGTATACAAAATACAGTTGCTCCATTGCCCCAGCAGCGTGTCCCCCCTGACGTCAAATCCATGCCCCGGAATCCTCGGTGGTGTGGACCATATGCACAGGTGCAGGATGACATTGGAATCGACTGGAAGAACATCGGCATCCACGGTCCACCGTTTCTGAGACACTGCATACAAAGAGTCGAAGACGACTGTTGCTTGCGAATCCTCCTAGCCATGCTTGTCCATATTGAGTACATGGTTTTTGGCCTGGGCAGCAACGGACAAATAAGAGAAACAGAAATGGTCTGACTTACCGAGCAGGAGCGGGTATACCGAGTTGCTGCGGAGTCAGACCAAATCCACACCTACAAGTAATCGTATTCTCACTTCGCCTCCCAACAACGGCCCGCCAAGCTCACAAGCGGTGCCCGGATTCGACGCACATCCTCACCACACATCAACACCATAAGCTGGCCCAGCTGGATCCCAGCCTCTGCTTCTTGCTCGTGGTAATGGGGCACTATACCTAGCCTCCACGTGGTGGGGAATTCGACCCAATGTGCATTGTCCAGCCTGCTTAGTTTTTGCTACGATGGGACGTTGCCCTGCTGCGCCTGCAGGCTTTTTGGATGACAATCGAGGAACTTACCCATTCGGTGCCCATCTCGATCGGATTGCCCAGCTGAAAGGTAGGTATAAGAAAGAGGTGCTTGCACGTTCTTTCCGCTGGACTCTCTCATCAAGCCCTTCTGTCGTCAGAATTTCCTGTCTACAACCTCTCCTGTCATTCGCTGTTTTCATTTAGTTATATACACATTCGTTCTCCTCGCCCAAAATGGCAAAGCCAATCGTTCTCTTTTCACTTTTGGCTCCTGCTCTCTCAGCGGTCCTGCCTCGCGGCCAAGAGAGCTCACAAGCTGGTTCTGCCTGGAACGATTGGGCCTCATCAAGTACTACCACGGTAGCTCCGTCAAGCACCTGGGGAGATTGGTCTTCAAGTTCTTCGGCCTACCCGACTCCAACGCCAAGCACAACCTACTCGAGCACTAAGGGCTGGGAAGAATGGACGAGCTCTTCGTCCACCTGGACCCCGAGTACGACTTACTCGAGCACCAAGGGCTGGGAAGAATGGACGAGCTCTTCGTCCACCTGGACCCC